CTTTGCCTCTGTTTCAACCCGTCTTGGTCGACTTTGGGAAACGTTTTCTGCGCAGGTGCTTTACCTCCATTGCCTCGGTTTCACATCGCATGGTTGACTGTGGGGAACGTTTTCTGCGCAGGTGCACAAGGCGATTGCTCTACCAAAGAACGACGTGCGGACTTGTGAGGCAACGACCCGATATGCGCGTGCTGCACCCCGTCATCACGGCGCTCCAGCATTTTCGTTTGTCGAGTGTGCTCTATCGGATCGCTGGCTCGCCAAGGCTATAACCTCTGGGCACATCACATCTCCGCATTGGTGTGAACCCTAGTTACGGATCACGCAATCAGATGGTAGAGCTGGGTCGTATTGGAGGGAATTTCGCTTTGTTTCAACTCCCGCGCCTCAGACATCAACGGTCATCTGCTGACGCACTTATGGCTCATTGCCCCCACAGGTTTAAGTTGTGCATCATGGTGTCCCAGCAGTTTTTCGGCGTCCTATCTCTCGCGTATTTTACGGACTGGCACATTGCGACACGCAGGACCCAGAGACTTGCGTTGCTAGTGCGGTATAAGTGGCCTCCAGCGCGGGTCGTCGTGTATGATCTCTGTTGCATACACCAGCCCTTTACTCGCCCGTCATTAAACAGTCCTTGCCGTACGCACCTGTGACTGTCAGTTGCTTCTCAATGCACGCGGTTTGCTGCTGTGTCGGTCCCTCAGGGAGCACGTGAGTACACCTTGTATCGGCGCCCGCAACATGGGCTGGGTATGCGAATTCTGCAACCTTGTATTCCCTGACTACGCCTCGCGAGACTCACACCAGCAGACTTTCTACCCGTGCAGGGAAGCACGGAGCCAGTGCGTGAACAATGGCCAGACTGTCGGCCCTTACTTTCAGGGGGGCGACCCTGGTCCATCAGCATGCTCAGTGGGCAGCCCTCGGGCGGATCTACTGCGGGAAGGGTCGCCCTCTGAGGTCCGGCTTGCCAGCCCGGAAGAACCAGCACAACCAGATGGATGTGCTAGTGGAGCCGTCAGGGCATAGGCGGCGGGTAGCATGGCCTCCCCAGGTCGTGATGATCCGTCCGATCACGACAGTGCTCAGTCCCTTGATAGTCTGGACCCCGCCGCGCATGGGGATTCGGCTGGGCGGCCTTTTGATTCGGAGTACGCGATCTTCCGCCTCATCATGGGTGCGAACAAAGGCCAGGGCCTCTCTGTCAAGGACACATCCCTGCTACTCAAGATCCTGAATTCCCACGGGTTTAGACAGGCAGCCATTAGACACTGGTGATCAAAGCGGGCAATAGAACATTACGGACTACGGCTGTTGCTTGGGCAGCGCCAGTATCATAGGTCTACGGTGACGGTACCTGGCTGGTCTACACTGTTTGTCGTCCAACACACTAACCCAATTGAGGTGAGTGATGAGGCAATTGTGGTCATTTGAGTCTTGCCCCAGCCGCAGTGGCACTAACTGTTCCGCTTGTCCTGGGCAGGCCATTGTGGAGCTGTGCAGACATCCGGCAAATGCACCAGGCTTTGTGTTGCACCCAGAGCCCGATAACAACAGCAGTGGTGGGTCTGAGAATCGCCACAAGTACATCGACCCCAAAACTGGGACGATGTGGCAAATAGCACAGGTAACCGCAGTGGCACAGTGCCTGTTTGTTTGTGCAGCCTCCTCCAGCATACTGCCGCAACTTCCCCACAAGCTCCTAACTCTCCATTTCCCAAATATCTGCCCTATTTGGCTGCCACCTACCCTCCAGTCCCTTCTCAAGAAAGGAGAGATCATCTGCCCCATCATCCTGGCATCCGACATGACGGTCCTCAGTGGACACAAGCGTACTAAAGTGTAGCCCGTGTACCTGACGGTCGCTAACATCCCCTACTCCATCCGCTGGCGAGAGACCGGGCGTGTTCTGCTGGCGCTGCTCTCGATGCCCGACGCGAAGATGAGTCCACTGATAAATGTGTATTATTCTGTGGTGTAGTTTTCTCTAGCTGGTTGTGGGCTATTGGGTTTTGGGCAAAAGGACTTGGGCTGGTTGGCAAGGTTTGAACTCGTTACCTTTCCAACCCATACAACCTCAAACCCCCTACAACATCTTTGATCTTGCTGTCGTGGCACTTGAGAGTGTTGGGGTTTGGTCTAGGGCAAGGGTTGGTGGTGCTTGACAATCACATACTGCAACTTTTCCAGATCGAACTTCTTCCCTTCTCGTTTTTACTAGGTGATTCATGGCTGCCTAGCCAAATTACCAGAATATCCCCTCACACTGATTTCGTCATAATCGGCGGCTCGGATCTTGGTTATGAACGTGCTTTACTATTCTGGAAAGTAGAGATTAAGACCTTTCCAACGCGTATAAGCTCATTTCTAGAAGTTACCTGAGCTGCACGCAATGTTCTGTTGAGGTCGTCAAACTTAATCTCTAATTAGTTCTCTCCAGATTTGCACGATTTCCATCAGTGGTATCAGAGCCACGGTTAGAGGACGTTCTTTCCTCCATTGGAAGAGATCTAGAGAGGCTTGAAGTGCTCCAGATCTAGTGTTTGACATGGCCCAAAAGTTGGATGGCCCTCCTAGGTTTACCGGCTCGGACTTTTCGCTATGGAGGTTCCAGTTCACACTATGGCTAGGTATTAAGGACCTAGAAAGTGTGTTGGATGGATCAGAGAAGCGACCACGAGCTGACTCTGGGGAGGCGTCTAATGGAGCAACCAGCCAAGTGGGATCCGGGGCTGGGGGAGCGTCGTTGAGTGGGGGGAATGAAGGAGGAACCGCTGCAACTCGAACCGGAAGGTCGCAACCAAGTCGCGAGGAGTTGCTAAAAGCTCAAGAAGCATGGGATCGGAAGGATCGCCAGGCTTTTCAGTACCTGTGTTGGGCTTTGGAGGGGCAACTTGAGCTTCTTAAGATGCTGATTGACCTGAAGGGGAAGGAAGGTGCAGCAGCTGCAACTTGGAAAAGAGTGCAAGATAGGCACTTGCAGAAAGGGCTTCTAAGCGTGCTTACTTGGCGGAAGCGGTTTTACACCATGGAGCGGAACTATGGGGAGGGGGAGACCATGGTTCAGTATCTCCAGAGGGTGGATGAGAATTTGAGGGCTTTGGAGGAGCTAGATTACACGGTAGATGAGAAGGAGATCATCTATACTGCACTCCAAGGGTTGGATCAAGCGGCTAATGAGGCATTACTACAGTACCTTCACCTCGAGCAACAGAAATGGACCAAGGTGTGGATTTGGGAGGTTTTAATTTCTGATGAGGCTCGCAAGGTTGATGCTGGAAGAGGCCTAGAAGGAGGCATGGGGGCAGCAGATAAAGCTTCCTTCAGGAAAGGCTATCAATAGCAAGGAGGTGGGGGGAAGAAGAAAGAGTTGGACAAATGCCTTGTGCCCGGATGCAACAAAAAACACTCTTGGAAGAGTTGCTGGAGTAGGCCTGAGGGATGGAAGCCTCACGGCTACTCTGGAGAGGCCCCACCAGTGACCAAACCTGATTGGGTGGAGAAAAGGATGAAGAAGGGGCTCTGGAATAAGAAGGGCAGCAAGGGAGCAACGGCCGCAGCTGCTAAGGATGAGAAGGGGAAGGGCCAAGACGACTCCTCCGATGATGGTTTCTCGTTTCTCATGCTAGGGCAAGATGCATCTCTCACTGGTCGTGCATTGGCTGATCCCAACTTCCTGGTTCTAGACTCTGGAGCAACATCTGGGATGCTTCCTCGCCGTGATCTTTTCACCTCCTACCATCCTCTCCCACCAAACTCTAGGAGAGTGATTGTTGGGAGCGGAGATTTGCTGCAGGCAATTGGCATCGGCACGATCACCATTAAGGGGAAGGAGGGGGAGCTAGTGGGTGTGAAGGGGGTCCTTCACGTCCCTGGTTTGGCTGCAAACCTCCTTTCATGCTCGCAGCTGGCTAAACAGGGATACATCTGCACTTTCACGGAGGGAGGGTGTACTGTTAGAAAGGGTGAAGCTGTGGTGATGGAGGCAAAGCTGGACAAGGGTTTATACCTTGTTCCAGCTTGTGTGCCTAATTGTTACAAGGCACATATGGTTTTTTCTGAGGAAGCCGCTTGTAGCACTCGCTGGAGGCAGGTGGAAACGGTGTCACCTGAGTTGCTACACCTTCGCATGGGGCACGCGGGGAAGCAACAAATACTGGAGTGTGTGAAGAAGGGGGAGCTGAAGGGGGTGGAGGTCAAGGAAGGAGCTGGGCAGCAGAGAAAATGTCCTGACTGCACATCTGGAAAGCTGCCTAGAACCTCATTCCCTATCTCCTCTGATCATGCCTCGACTCCCCTTGAGCTTGTGCACACGGATGTGTGTGGACCGATGCAAACTCCTGACCGGAAAAGGGGCAGCAGGTACTTTGTCACCTTTCTTGATGACTTCAGTCGACTTAGCTGGGTCACCTTGGTGAAGACCAAGGATGAGGTGGCAAAGGTGTTTAAGCGGTGGATACGCTATGTGGAGAGGGAATCAGGGGCCAAGGTAAAGGTGTTAAGGTCAGATCGGGGTGGAGAGTACCTTGGGAAAGAACTTCAAATCTTCTTGGAAGAAAAGGGTATTTCCCACCAGCTCTCTGTACCTTACATGCCGCAGCAAAATGGAGCAGCGGAGCGGCTTAACAGGACCTTGACCGATTTGGCTCGGGCCATTCTTGCCCATGCCGAGCTTGATAACACTTGGTGGGGGGCAGCAGTGCAGTATGCCAACTGGGTGAAGAACAGGATGGGCAGCAAGGGGCTTGGAGGCAAGAGCCCATACTCTTTATGGACAGGGAAGGTGCCGAATGTTTCCATGGCACGAGTGTGGGGGTGCATGGCACAGTATAAGGTACCTGACCAGCAAAGGAGAAAGCTAGATCCTAAGGCACAGTGGGGGATCTTCCTTGGGGTTTCTGAGAGGAGCAAGGCTTGGGTGCTATGGAGTGTAGCTGACCAGCGTGTGATGGAGAGCCGTGATGTGATTTTCCATGAGGGGCTGAATTATAAGGGGTGGAAGGAGCGTGGTGCAAGCCATAGTGGGACTTCCAATCAAGACCCTCATACGGCCTCTATCTTTGAGGGGGCATGGGAGGACCCTGGAGATGAAGGGGAGGAGCAGCCAGAGGAGCCAGAACCAGCTGATTCTAACCATGAGGAGTCCCGAGAGACAGATTCTACCCCTCAGCCAGCCACGCAGGCCGATGCGCATGATGATCAGCCAGAGCAGCATGTGCCTTCAACTCCATCGAGAAGCAGTTGGCAGCAGTTGTTGAACCAGCAGCTGTCCAAGACTCCAAGGACTCCAATGAAGAGGGTGACTTGGGAGGAGAAGCTGCAGAGGCTGGAAGAAGGAGAGGCAACACCTCTGCGACGCAGTGCTCGAATTTCCCAGCCACCTGAAAGGTTTACCCCGGGGCACATTGCACGCATGCATGATCATCTTGTGTCTGATTTGGATGATTGCATGCTTGTGGACATGCATGGACATGAGTATGCTCTTGATGTGTGTCTAATGGGTCAGGTACATGAGCCTAGGTCAGTCCACGAGGCGCTGAACCGTCCCGAATGGGTTGAGTCCATGCATGAGGAGCTTGAGTCTCACAAGGTAAATGGATCATTTGAGCTGGTTGATCCAGCAGTGGTACCACCTGGTTTGGAGGTCCTCAGGTGTCAATGGGTTTGGAAATACAAACATAACCCCGATGGTACCATTGAGAGGCCTAAGTCCAGATTGGTGGTTATGGGAAACATGCAGAAATTGGGAGTACACTATGAAGAAGTGTACTCTCCAGTTGGGAAGCATGCGACCTTGAGAGGTATGCTTGGAATTTCGGCTGCTTTGAAGCTTAACATCCATCATATGGACGTCAAGACAGCCTTCCTCCTTGGGGATTTGGAAGAAGAGCTTTACATGCGGCAGCCCCCTGGTTTTGATGATGGGTCTAACCGAGTGTGTCGCCTCAAAAGGTCCATTTATGGGCTGAAGCAAGCCCCACGACAGTGTTACCTGAAATTTGATGAGGCTCTCATGGATTTTGGGTTTGAGAGATCTGAGTGTGACCCTGCCTTGTACCACTTTGTGAGAGATGAGGAGAGGATCTCCTTATTCCTCTATGTGGATGACCTTTTGCTCCTATGCTCTAGTAAGGTTTTGTTAGATCGAGTGAAAGACTTCTTGTCCTTACGTTTTCGCATGAAGGACTTGGGGGAGGTGAAGTACTACTTGGGAATGCAAATTGAGCGTGATGAGAGTGGTATCTTGATTCATCAAGAGAGGTACATTCTTAACATGCTTCAGTCCTTTGGTCTTTCAGAGGCCAACCCCGTGCGTACTCCTCTGCCGACTGGCTTTGATGTGCATGCCTATGAGGATGAACCTTTGCTGCGAGATGAGCTGGTCAAGCTCTACCAAAGCATTGTGGGATCCCTCATGTATGCTTGTACTACCACACAGCCGCAGATTGCATTCGCAGTCTCACAGCTATCTAAGGTCGCCTCTTGTCTTAAAATGTTTCACTTGCAGGCCGCTAAGAGAGTGCTGAGGTACCTGAAAGGTGGTGTCAAGTCAGGTATCTTCTTTTAAACACAGCCCCAATCTCAGGTCCAGCTGGTTGGCTTAGGTGATGCCGACGATGCTGGAGATTCCGCAAGTCGCAAGAGTCACAGTGGGTATGTGTTTTGCCTGAATGGGGCAGCTATCTCTTGGCAGAGCAAGAGGCAGCCCGTGGTGGCACTCTCTACCACTGAGAGTGAGTACATAAGTCTGTGTCAGTGCATTCAAGAGGGTGTGTGGCTAAGGCGTTTGTTTGGGGAGTTTGGCCATGCTCATACTGGTGGTGTGCCTGTGTTTGTGGACAATCAGTCTGCCATTGCCCTTGCACAGAATGCATGCTTGCATGGCCGCACCAAACACATGCAGATCCGGTGGCATTTCATTCGGGAGATGGTGGCTGCGGGAGAGGTGATTTTGCAATGGTGCCCCACCACCCGTCAGGCTGCTGATATCCTTACCAAGGCTCTTCCATTTGAGTGCCATGGTGTGTGCATGACCTTGCTCGGGATGCAGCCCCATGATGACCGGGTTCCCGAAGCAGATGCCGGCGTCTTGGTGCTCCTCTCCTTGGCGGACTCCATGCTCTGGGTGGCCCCAACCCATGGGCAAGGGGGAGTGGTGTGAAGTCTTTTGCCCTATGGTGTTGAGCCACACCCAGCACGACAAGGGGGAGTGATAAATGTGTATTATTCTGTGGTGTAGTTTGCTCTAGCTGGTTGTGGGCTATTGGGTTTTGGGCAAAAGGACTTGGGCTGGTTGGCAAGGTTTGAACTCGTTACCTTTCAATCCCATACAACCTCAAACCCACTACAACATCTTTGATGCTGCAGTCGCGACACTTGAGACTCTTGGGGTTTGGTCTAGGGCAAGGGTTGGTGGTGCTTGACAATCACATACTGCAACTTTTCCAGATCGAACTTCTTCCCTTCTCGTTTTTACTAGGTGATTCATGGCTGCCTAGCCAAATTACCTCACACTTTCCAACGCTTATAAGCTCATTTCTAGAAGTTACCTGAGCTGCACGCAATGTTCTGTTGAGGTCGTCAAACTTAATCTCTAATTAGTTCTCTCCAGATTTGCACGATTTCCATCAGTGTGGCCCGTGTACCTGACGGTCGCTAACATCCCCTACTCGCTCTGCTGGCGAGAGACCGGGCGTGTTCTGCTGGCGCTGCTCTCGATGTTCGACGCAGAGATGAGTCCACTGCAGAAGGTTCAGCTCTTCCAGCGTGCAAAGCAACATGTTCTGCACGATCTTTTTGGTGCTTCTGAGTGGTGAGTCAGCCAGTGCTGCCCACCGGCATCTCGTTGCTGTGGGACATAGCACTGGGGCCTGCCTGACATGTGTAGTGCAGCGTGCAGCTGTCACTTTCCATGTGTCTGCCAGTCGCATTCATCTCTTTCCCTCACTCTCTTACCCGCCGTCCAGGGGCTTTCTGCTCACAAATCCGAACGGGGTAGTGCACATGGCGTACCCTATGTTGTTCGCCTATGTTGGAGACTACCTAGAAATCTGCAAGGTCAGCTGCACGCTGCAGCTGGATAGCGACATGCCATGCTCGGTATGCTATGTGGAGAAGGACTTCCTGTGGGTCATCCAGGATGGTCTCAATGAGCGTCGGACGGTGGCCACGCAGCAACTGCTCCTGAACGATCCCAATAAGGCTCACAAGTACTCCATGCATCCCATAGAGGCAAGTGTTGGGGGAGGTGGGGGGGTGGCGTCGGCTGGAAGCGTGGGTAGGTGGGGGGGAGGAGTCGTGGGGGGGGTGAGAGGGGTAAAGGCGCGGGAGTTTGTTGACTAGCTACGAATCATAGCTCGGTGCAAGCTCTCATCCTTCTCGGCGGCTCACTCTCATTCACGACTCACCGCGCCTCAGTCACTCCCATTCCCCCATCACCACGCCTCACTCACCCTCATTCACGACTCACCGCGCCTCAGTCACAACCATTCCGCCATCACCACGCCTCACTCACTCTCATTCACGACTCACCGCGCCTCAGTCACTCCCATTCCCCCATCACCACGCTTCACTCACTCTCATTCACGACTCACCGCGCCTCAGTCACTCCCATTCTCCCATCACCACGCCTCACTCACCCTCATTCACGACTCACCGCGCCTCAGTCACTCCCATTCCCCCATCACCATGCCTCACTCACTCTCATTCACGACTCACCGTGCCTCTGTCACTCCCATTCCCCCATCACCACGCTTCACTCACTCTCATTCACGACTCACCGCGCCTCAGTCACTCCCATTCTCCCATCACCACGCCTCACTCACCCTCATTCACGACTCACCGCGCCTCAGTCACTCCCATTCCCCCATCACCACGCCTCACTCACTCTCATTCACGACTCTCCAAGCCTCAATCAACCCCATTCCCCCATCACCATGCCTCACTCACTCTCATTCACGACTCACCGCGCCTCAGTCAACCCCATTCCCCCATCACCACGCCTCACTCACTCTCATTTAAGACTCACCGCGCCTTAGTCACTCCCATTCCCCCATCACCACGCTTCACTCACTCTCATTCACGAATCACCGCGCCTCATTCACTCCCATTCCCCCATCACCACGCCTCACTCACTCTCATTCACGACTCACTTCACCTCAGTCACTCCCATTTCCCCATCACCACGCCTCACTCACCCTCATTCATGACTCACCGCGCCTCAGTCACTCCCATTCCCCCATCACCACCCTTCACTCACTCTCATTCACGACTCACCGCGCCTCAGTCACTCCCATTCTCCCATCACCATGCCTCACTCACACTCGTTCACGACTCACCGCGCCTCAGTCACTCCCATTTCCCATCACCACGCCTCACTCACCCTCATTCACGACTCACCGCGCCTCAGTCACTCCCATTCCCCCATCACCATGCCTCACTCACTCTCATTCACGACTCACCGTGCCTCAGTCACTCCCATTCCCCCATCACCACGCTTCACTCACTCTCATTCACGACTCACCGCGCCTCAGTCACTCCCATTCTCCCATCACCACGCCTCACTCACCCTCATTCACGACTCACCGCGCCTCAGTCACTCCCATTCCCCCATCACCACGCCTCACTCACTCTCATTCACGACTCTCCAAGCCTCAATCAACCTCATTCCCCCATCACCACGCCTCACTCACTCTCATTTAAGACTCACCGCGCCTTAGTCACTCCCATTCCCCCATCACCACGCTTCACTCACTCTCATTCACGAATCACCGCGCCTCTTTCACTCCCATTCCCCCATCACCACGCCTCACTCACTCTCATTCACGACTCACTTCACCCCAGTCACTCCCATTTCCCCATCACCACGCCTCACTCACCCTCATTCATGACTCACCGCGCCTCAGTCACTCCCATTCCCCCATCACCTCGCTTCACTCACTCTCATTCACGACTCACCGCGCCTCAGTCACTCCCATTCTCCCATCACCACGCCTCACTCACACTCGTTCACGACTCACCGCGCCTCAGTCACTCCCATTCCCCCATCACCACGCCTCACTCACCCTCATTCACGACTCACCGCGCCTCAGTCACTCCCATTCCCCCATCACCACGCCTCACTCACTCTCATTCACGACTCACCGTGCCTCAGTCACTCCCATTCCCCCATCACCACGCCTCACTCACTCTCATTCACGACTCATCGCGCCTCAGTCACTCCCATTCCCCCATCACCACGCCTCACTCACTCTCATTTAAGACTCACCGCGCCTTAGTCACTCCCATTCCCCCATCACCACGCCTCACTCACTCTCATTCACGACTCACCGCACCTCATTCACTCCCATTCCCCCATCACCACGCCTCACTCACTCTCATTCACGACTCACCGCGCCTCAGTCACTC